GAATCTGCATGGCGGGCGGCTTCCCGCTCAAGAAGTGGTCGGCGAACGAGGCGTCGATACTCGATGAGGTCCCTCCTGAGGATCGCCTTCAACGCGAGCCCCGGTGGTGGCTCCCGGGAGAGAGCCACTTGACCCTCGGGCTGCGTTGGCATCCACGCGAAGATCAGTTCGCCTACTCGACGCAACTGACCCAACTGGAGGCTATTACGAAGCGGTCGGTCTTATCTTTAGCCGCTCGGCTATTCGATCCGCTGGGGTGGCTCGCCCCCACTACCGTATTAGCTAAAATTTTGTTTCAGTCCACCTGGTTGCTGGGATTGGATTGGGAAACGCAGCTCCCTGACACCGACGTCCGACGATGGCTCGAATTCCAGGCCGGACTGCCTCTACTGGAAACGATCCGAGTGCCCCGATGGCTGGAGAGCGATCAAGAAGGTGTTAAGCGCGAACTGCACGGATTCGCCGACGCCTCGGAAAAGGCGTACGCAGCAGTGGTCTACCTGCGGACCGAAAGCTCGAGCGGCGAAGTAGTCGTGAGCCTCGTGGCGGCGAAAACCAAAGTCGCTCCGTTAAAGCAGGTCAGCCTTGCACGGCTGGAGCTAAACGCTGCCGCCTTACTCGTCCGACTCGCCAACCATGCTCGGCGGGTCCTCAAGATAGAAGAGGAGCCGACCCATCTGTGGACTGATGCGACCGTAGTGCTAGGCTGGATTCGAGGTCACCCTGCTTCCTGGAAGACATACGTGGCAAACAGAGTGAGTGAGATTCAGCTCACTCTCCCTGACGCTTATTGGCATCACGTCCCCGGGCGTGAAAACCCCGCCGACTGCGCGTCCCGAGGCCTCTTACCAAGGGAACTGGTGGAGCACCCGCTCTGGTGGCAGGGCCCGGCGTGGCTCCGAACTAAAACCGGTCCGTGGTCCGCTCCTTTGGACGACGAAGTACCCGTCGACCTCCCGGAACGGCGCTCTCACATACATGCCGTGGCAGCCGCTACGGAGGAGCCCGAGCTGCTGACGAGGTACTCATCCCTGACGAGCTTGGCGCGGACGACAGCTTGGTGCCGCCGTTGGCTGCGGTGCCTGCGGGCGAGGCGGACTGCCCACGAGAAGCAGCCCGATTCCTCCGCTGGGCTCGTACTAACACGCGAGGAGCTCAGCGACGCCATCGTGGGTTGGATCGGCTGGGTTCAATCCATTCATTTCAAGGGGGAAGCGACGGCCCTCCGAAAGAACGCTCCGCTGCCGGCGCGCAGTACCATCGCCTCGCTGAGCCCCTTCCTGGACGAGCGAGGCCTACTCCGCGTCGGCGGTAGACTCAAGAACGCCATGCTTGCCTACGACGCTAGGCACCCTGTGATCTTGCCGGGACCGTCACGATTAACGAGGCTTATCGTGGAGGCGTGCCATCGGCGGACATTGCACGGAGGAGTGCAGGCGACCCTCGGGGCCCTTCGCCAGGAGTACTGGGTCCCTCGCGGTCGTACATTGGTGAAAGGGTGTATTCGGCGTTGCGTGACGTGCGTGCGATGGCGGGCGGCCTCTCCACAGCCTCTCATGGGAAGCCTCCCTGGTCCTAGGGTAACTCCCGCTCGGCCATTCCTGAACACCGGAGTCGACTACGCCGGACCGGTGTGGCTGAGAACCTCCAAGGGACGGGGCCAGCGGGCCTCTAAAGCATTTATCGTTGTATTTGTATGTCTGTGTTCTAGAGCGGTACACCTCGACGTGGCTACGGACTACACCGCCGACGCCTTCCTGGCTGCGCTGCGCCGCTTCGTCTCCCGCCGAGGTTTATGCCAGACGTTGTACAGCGACCGCGGCACAAATTTTGTCGGTGCCGACGCACAATTGCGCGATCTATTCTCCGCCGGCGGCCAGGGGGGCCGACGCATCGCCGAGCGCGTTGCTGAGGAGAGGATAGCGTGGCGCTTCAATCCCCCCGCTGCGCCCAACTTTGGCGGCATCTGGGAGGCAGCCGTCAAGTCGACCAAGCATCACTTGCGGCGAGTGATCGGCGAGGCGACTCTCACCTACGAGGAGATGGCCACGTTATTATCTCAGGTAGAGGCGTGCCTGAATTCACGTCCCCTGCAGGCCCTGACAGACGACCCTGAGGACCTCAGCCCGCTCACTCCCGGCCACTTCCTCATAGGCTCGGCCATCAGCGCCGTACCGGAGCCGTCGTTGACGGAGGAGAGAACGACTCGGTTGTCCCGCTGGCAACAAGTCCAGCAGATGCGGGACCATTTCTGGGCGCGATGGTCTAAGGAGTACCTCCAGACGCTTGCTCATCGCCCGAAATGGCTCAAGGCCGACCTGGAGGTGCGAGCAGGCCGCTTGTGCCTCGTAAGAAGCGAGACGACGCCCCCGACCAAGTGGCCCCTCGCTCGGATTGAGGAGCTACTCCCGGGCGACGACGGACAGGTTCGCGTCGTCAAAGTTCGAACGGCGGCATCGATACTCACACGGCCTGTGAGCAAACTCGTCCTCCTCCCGGACTGCGACGCACCGGGAAGCGAGGAGTAATCGCGAAAACCGTCATCTCCTTATCGCGTCGTGCGCGAATTAGAATCAATTAAATATCATCGTAGGTTGCACCATACGAGGCGGGCGGAATGTTCGCGATCGAACCGTAATCCCCCGTGAATAAGCGCGAGGAGAATTATCGCTTAAGCCCAGCATTGTTTCGGGAACAACCGCCGTTATTCCAAGACCTTCGAGAAGCCGAGAAACGAACGCGTGTTTTTCCTCGCGGGCTCGCTCTATCCCCTTTGTCTCATCGCGCGACGTAAACATTGGAGACGCAGCTCCTGACCTCGGCGAGAACAGCTGATCGGTTGCCGACTCCGAAATTCGAGACGTTCAAACCGAAAGACAAGTCGACGGGTCGGCTACCGATTGGCTCGGCTAATTGTTCGGCTCATTACCGGGGATACGTGATGCGTAGGGATAGGGAGCTCGTACCTCCGAGTGCGCCGGAGGCTCGGCCAGATACGTTTTCGGAGACGTAACGAGCATCTCTTCCGTTTTCGAAAAGCGAATTGTCACTTGCTTGGAGTCTCGACGACGGCTCGATCCGTGGCTCGCGGAATAGATCGTGCGACGAGAACCGTAGTTCGCGGAATAAGCGCCGATTTTCCAGGAATCAGAACCGCGTTTCGTGGATTCCTAATCTCCGTGTAAATAAATGTATATATTCTGTGTAAATATATTCTGTAAATAGACATACGAGAGTTAACTGGAAATAAGCCCCATTCCCGCGCCTCTAACTCGATCTTCCTTCTGCTCACGCACATTTATTGGTCCTTCGAGCCGGATTTCGCGACCGATATCCGCGCCGCGAGTGAGTGGTCAAGGGTGAGCTTCTCGTGCTACGAGTGACCGCCTGGAAGACGAAGATGAGCAACCCTGAGATGGAGGGACTTATCCGTTCGCAGAACGAACTGCACGGACGCATCGCACGCGCCTATGAAAACTTGAAGAAAGCGGGAGGCGCAAGATTGACAATGGGACTGGTGAATGCTCGCCTCCAAGCCTTGGAATCGAACTGGAACAAGTTCGAGGAACAACACGGCAAACTGCTATTAATGCCTCCAGATGTTCTCGCCGCCACTGACTATAAGGAACAGGACCTCCCGGCTTTGGTGGAGGAGACCTTCTTAACGCAGAAGGGAATGTTCCTGGACGTCCTCCTGTCGCACAAGGCGAGGGAGGAGGCTGCAGCTAAGAATGAGACTTCGGAGACGGCGACAACGACGAATCGCACCACGTTACCGCGGATTCAGCTGCCGGAATTCTCAGGCAAATACGAGGACTGGCCGTCGTTCCGCGACCTCTTCCACTCTCTCATAGGCCGGGACGCTAACACGACGCCGGTGGAAAAGCTGCACTACCTCAAAACTTCCTTGAAAGGTGAGGCTGAGTTATTAGTCCGGAATATCGCGACGACGGCCGAAAATTATAACAGTGCGTGGGACGTATTGAATGCGTATTATGAGAACAAGCGACTTCTCACCCGCGCGTATCTGTCCAATTTCCTTGCGCTAACGAAAATGAAGAGTGAATCGGCGGTCGAGCTTCGAAAGATTTTCCACGGCGTCAAAGCAACGGTCAGCTCGTTGGCGAGTATCGGTCGGCCTATAAACCGTAGCGAGGACCTATTCGTTTATCTGGCGGTCGAGCTACTGGATCCGCGTTCGCGACGCGAGTGGGAAACGTCAATCGGCGACACGACCGAGCCTCCGACGTATGCGACTCTCGAGCAATTCCTGGATCGGCAGCTGCATACGCTCGAGTCGATGCAGCCTGCTAAGGTCGACGGAGCCGCCGGTAAGGCCGCGAGCGGAGCCGCCAAATCCGCGCGGAGCCACCTCGCTCGGAAGCAGGAGGGAAATCCGGACGCCAAGCGAGGTCGTTGCCACTGCTGCCAAAAGGACCATATCCTCATGTTCTGTGAGGACTACAAGAGGAAAACAGCCCAGGAACGGAAGCAGCTCGTCGACAACAAGAACCTGTGCCTGAACTGCCTCGGTTCTCACAAGGTCAGTGAGTGCGCGTCGAAGAAGGGGTGTGCAGCGTGTGGCGCGCGACACCATACTTCCGTTCACGATGCGTGTCGCGAGGTCGAGGTCGCGAAGACGGTTCACGCGGCTCAAAGACTTGCCGTAAAGCCGAGCGCGGTGCTCCTCGCCACCGCTCGCGTTCGCGTAGCCGATCGGTTCGGAACCTTGCATCACGCTCGCGCGCTGGTCGACCAGGGATCGGAGTCGTCCCTTGTGACCGAGCGCCTCGCGCAAAGATTAAAGTTACCGCGTTCTCGCACGTCGGTTTCGATATTCGGCGTCGGCGGACAGAAAACGGCCGTCGCAAAAGGACGCGTATCGCTGACTCTCGCGCCGCGAACCGACGGCCCTGCGATGTCGGTCTCCGCGCTCGTACTCCCCCGGCTCACAATATACGCCGGCGGTATCGAGGCCGGCGCTGAAGCGTGGTCTCATCTTCGGGGTCTGGAGCTGGCGGACCCCGAGTTCAGCGCGTCCGACTCGGTGGACATTCTCCTCGGTGCCGGCGTTTACGCGGGAATATTGCAAGAGGGACTTCGCAAGGGGGGTAGTCGCGAGCCCGTCGCGCAAAACACGACTCTTGGCTGGATTCTGTCCGGCGCTATCGGTGAAGGTGCTTCGAGTCACTTCGCGCAATCCTACCAGTGCCGTGTCGAGGACGAACTGTCGCAACTAGTGAGACGATTTTGGGAGCAGGAGGAGGTTCCGTCGGCTGCCGGACCGCTCTCGAAAGCCGATCAGGAGTGTGAGGAACATTTCGCGCGCACACATTCGCGTAAGCCCGACGGGCGCTACGTGGTGCGACTCCCCGTCGTCGAGCCGATGCCGAATCTCTGTGGTACGCGCCGCGCGGCCGTTCGCGTGATGAAGGCCATGGAAGCGAAGTTCGCGCGGGATGCTTCCTTCCATGCGCTGTATACAGATTTCATGCGTCAATATGTCGAGCTCGGGCATATGACGCCGGTCGATCCTCCGGCCGATCCGGCGAAAATGGCCGTCTGCTATCTGCCTCACCATGGAGTGATGAAGGAAACCAGCACGACGACGAAATTGCGAGTCGTCTTCAACGGTTCTTCCGCGCTGCCGACGGGAGCGGCGCTAAATAAGTATCTGCAGACCGGGCCGAACTTGCTGCCGGCTTTGGCAGAGATCTTACTCCGTTGGCGGCGTCACCGGTACGTTTTCGCGGCGGACATAGAGAAAATGTACCGGCAGATCGAAGTCCACCCGGAAGACAGGGATCTGCAACGCATAGTCTGGCGTGAGAGCCCTAGCGATGTGTTGCTGGAATTTCTCCTAATCACTCTCACGTACGGGCTTGCTTGTTCCGCGTTCCTAGCGATTCGCACGCTCCATCAGCTGGCCAAGGACGAGGGAGTTGAGTTCCCGCTAGGAGCTATCGCCCTCCTACTGGAGACCTACATGGACGACGTATTGTCTGGCGCGGACACGATCTCGAGGGCCAAAGCGATCCGTCGTCAGCTGGACTGAATCTGCATGGCGGGCGGCTTCCCGCTCAAGAAGTGGTCGGCGAACGAGGCGTCGATACTCGATGAGGTCCCTCCTGAGGATCGCCTTCAACGCGAGCCCCGGTGGTGGCTCCCGGGAGAGAGCCACTTGACCCTCGGGCTGCGTTGGCATCCACGCGAAGATCAGTTCGCCTACTCGACGCAACTGACCCAACTGGAGGCTATTACGAAGCGGTCGGTCTTATCTTTAGCCGCTCGGCTATTCGATCCGCTGGGGTGGCTCGCCCCCACTACCGTATTAGCTAAAATTTTGTTTCAGTCCACCTGGTTGCTGGGATTGGATTGGGAAACGCAGCTCCCTGACACCGACGTCCGACGATGGCTCGAATTCCAGGCCGGACTGCCTCTACTGGAAACGATCCGAGTGCCCCGATGGCTGGAGAGCGATCAAGAAGGTGTTAAGCGCGAACTGCACGGATTCGCCGACGCCTCGGAAAAGGCGTACGCAGCAGTGGTCTACCTGCGGACCGAAAGCTCGAGCGGCGAAGTAGTCGTGAGCCTCGTGGCGGCGAAAACCAAAGTCGCTCCGTTAAAGCAGGTCAGCCTTGCACGGCTGGAGCTAAACGCTGCCGCCTTACTCGTCCGACTCGCCAACCATGCTCGGCGGGTCCTCAAGATAGAAGAGGAGCCGACCCATCTGTGGACTGATGCGACCGTAGTGCTAGGCTGGATTCGAGGTCACCCTGCTTCCTGGAAGACATACGTGGCAAACAGAGTGAGTGAGATTCAGCTCACTCTCCCTGACGCTTATTGGCATCACGTCCCCGGGCGTGAAAACCCCGCCGACTGCGCGTCCCGAGGCCTCTTACCAAGGGAACTGGTGGAGCACCCGCTCTGGTGGCAGGGCCCGGCGTGGCTCCGAACTAAAACCGGTCCGTGGTCCGCTCCTTTGGACGACGAAGTACCCGTCGACCTCCCGGAACGGCGCTCTCACATACATGCCGTGGCAGCCGCTACGGAGGAGCCCGAGCTGCTGACGAGGTACTCATCCCTGACGAGCTTGGCGCGGACGACAGCTTGGTGCCGCCGTTGGCTGCGGTGCCTGCGGGCGAGGCGGACTGCCCACGAGAAGCAGCCCGATTCCTCCGCTGGGCTCGTACTAACACGCGAGGAGCTCAGCGACGCCATCGTGGGTTGGATCGGCTGGGTTCAATCCATTCATTTCAAGGGGGAAGCGACGGCCCTCCGAAAGAACGCTCCGCTGCCGGCGCGCAGTACCATCGCCTCGCTGAGCCCCTTCCTGGACGAGCGAGGCCTACTCCGCGTCGGCGGTAGACTCAAGAACGCCATGCTTGCCTACGACGCTAGGCACCCTGTGATCTTGCCGGGACCGTCACGATTAACGAGGCTTATCGTGGAGGCGTGCCATCGGCGGACATTGCACGGAGGAGTGCAGGCGACCCTCGGGGCCCTTCGCCAGGAGTACTGGGTCCCT